GGGGCCCGGCGTGGAAAAAGGGGGCCCCCCCTGATGGCCCCCATGGCTTTGCAGGCGGCGGTGCGCGGGGAGGAGTGGAGACCCATCGAGCAGAAGCCCCGGGAGCGGCCGCACGTGGGGGACACCATCAAGCAGCCGCCCAGCAACCCCCCGCCCCGGCCCCCCGCCGATGCCCGCAAGAAGCAGGCGGCAGAGGTGGGGGGGCAGGTGAACCCCATCCCTGTCGAGGCTGAGTAACAGCGGGGGCCCTTCTGCTGCTTCCGCGCTGCTCCCGCTTCCCAGCTGCATCCCGGCCCCTCGGGGGGAAAACCGGGGTGCCCAGCTCCTGGGGATCCCCAAATCCCCAGGGATGCTCAGCTCTTCGGGGCGGGGGTCCCAGTTCCTGGGGATCCCCAGATCCCTGGGGATCAGCAGTTTCCCCTGGGCTCCCTGAGGGATTCCCAAATCCCCAGGGATGCTCAGATCCCTGTGGGGTCTCCAGCTCCCAGGGGCTCCCCAGCTCCTGGGGGATCCCCAGAGCTCCTCAGCTGCCTGAGGCGTCCCCAACTCCTGGGGATCCCAAAATCCCTGGGGGTGCTCAGCTTCCCAGAGGGTTCCCAGCTCTCCCAGCAGGCCCCAGTTCTCAGGGGAATCCCCAAATCCCTGGGGAACCCCAGCTCTCTGGGGTGTTGCCAGGTCCCCAGGCCCTGCAGCCCCACGGGGCCAGGGGGGATCAGGCAGCTCTGCTCCCTGCACCCGCTCTCGCTGGTGGTTTTTTTTTTGTCACTTCTATGGTTGCTGTTGCAATAAAAAATGGGAAAGGCGCCGGCTGCCCCTGCCTCCCGCTCCCCTGGGGGGGCTGGAGCTGGGTTTGGGGGGGTTTTAAGGACAAAAAGCCCAATTATGGGCAAACTCCGTGGTGCGGCTGAAGCTGGGGTGGGGGCGTGCAGAGTGCGGCCATGGCGGGGGGACAGGGAGGTCCCCACGCTGCCCTGCCCTCCTGAAATCGTCCGCGGACCCAATGGTGGGGTGAAGCTGGGGGGGGACCGTGTGCGGTGGCACGTGGTCCCCAGGGGTGGACCTGCAGAACGTGGCCCCAAAAGCTGGTGTCACCCCCGGCAGGGAAGCGGGGGGGGGCGTTTCCCTTCCCACTCGTGGGTGCTGGAGGGCATCTGGGTGCTGGGGTGTTGTGAGATGGGGGGGACAAGGGACAGCCGCGTCCGTGTGCTGCGCGGGGGTGACAAAGCCTTGACCCCCACCGTGGGTATCAGTGGCTGCTCCGGGCCCCCTCTGCCTGCGTGAGCCCCGGTCTGGCGAGGGTGCAGCGGCCCCGGGGCACCCATGGGTGCTGGCAGGGTGCGGGGGTGGCCCCGGGGCACCCATGGGTGCTGGCAGGGCGTGGGGGGGCCCCGGCCGGGGGGGCTGGGGCCCGCGGGGGGGGGGGCCCC